TATCTCAAGCATTAGTAGACTCTGGAGCAGACTTAAATTGTATTAATGAAGGATTAGTACCCACTAAATATTCTGATAAAACCACACAAATTCTAAATACTGCTGATGGTAGTAGATTATTTATAAAATATAAGTTATCCAATGCTATGGTATGTAGTAATGGACATTGCTTTCTCACTCCATTCATAATGGTCAAAGGATTAAGCCAAGCAGTAATACTTGGTGTACCAATTCTTACTTTGTTATATCCAATAACTATAACTAATACAGGCATAGAAACTACAATAGATGCTAACAAAATTAAATTTGAATTTTTAGATAAACCTAGACTTAAAGAAATAAATAAAGTTCTTTAAAAGAAAAATCAGATATAAAATAATAGAAGAAGAATTACAATCTTCTATAAATTTAGAGAAAATTGAAAATATTAAAAGTAAAATAGAAATGAAATATGTAGTGATTTACCCAATGCTTTTTGGAACAGGAAAAAACATTAAGTAGGATTACCATATGAGTATGGATTTGATGAAAGAAAAATTCCAACTAAAGTTAGACCTGTACAAATGAATTCAACTTGATTAGAAACTTGCAAAAAAGAAATAGATGAATTACTAAAAAAAAAATTAATACGACCAAGTGAATCTCCTTGGAGTTGTGCTGCATTCTATGTTAATAAAAATGCAAAAAACGAACGAGGAGTCCCTAGACTTGTAATTAATTATAAACCTTTAAAAAAGGTTCTTCAATGGAATAGGTATCCTATTCCTAATAAAAAAGATTTGCTGGATAGATTAACTAATGCATGTATATTTTTAAAATTTGATCTTAAGTCTGGATATTGACAAATCCAGATAAAAGAAGAAGATAAATATAAAACAGCTTTCAATGTTCCATTCGGACAATATGAATGGAATATAATGCCATTTGGCTTAAAGAATGCTCCATCTGAATTTCAAAAAATAATGAATGATGTTTTTAATTCATACTTCAAATTTATGATCGTATATATAGATGATGTTTTAATTTTTTTTGAAAATATAACTCAACACTTCAAACATCTAAATGTTTTTATAAACGCAATAAAACATGCAAGACTCGTAGTTTCTGCAAAAGAGATTAATGTATTCCAAACAAAAATTAGATTCTTAGGACACAACATTTACCAAGGAACTATTATACCCATTGATAGATCAATACAATTTGCTGATAAGTTTCCTGATGCCATATTAGATAAAAAAGAATATCAACAATTCTTAGGTTGTTTAAATTATATAGTAGATTTCTATGAAAATTTAGCAATTGATATCAAACCCTTATATGATAGATTAAAAAAGAATCAACCTAAATGGATTCATATCCATACCCAAGCAGTTAAAACCTTGAAATCAAAAGCCAAATAATTACCCTGTTTATCCTTACCCCATCCTAATGCCTTTAAACTAATCGAATGCGATGCATCTGAGTTAGGCCTAGGAGAAATTCTAAAACAACAAACAGATTCTAAAGAACAATTACTCCGCTATACTTCCAAGGCATGGAACTCTACCCATCAAAACTATTCTACTGTTAAAATAGAAATTTTAGCAATTGTTCATTGTGTTACTCAATTCCAGAGTGATATTTTAAATACTAAATTTCTTATTCGAACTGATTGTAAGGCTGCTAAGGATATACTTGTCAAAGATGTGCAATATCTCGTTTCAAAACAAATTTTTACCCACTGGCAAGCCATTTTATCCTCTTTTGATTTTGATATTAAACATTCGAAAGGTGCTTCTAGTTCCCTTCCTGACTTTCTTACACGAGAATTTTTGCAGGGGGGGCAGAACGGACTAGTTTGATCCACCTATATTACCAATTGCTCTTGAATTATTCAATTACAATAAGAATATGAGTACTTCTGATACCAAAGGAAAAGCCCCATTTGGATACTTCACTGGACATTGTTCCCAGTAATATGACCCAATCTCCAATAAGAAACCTTCAACCATACTCACCCAATCAACCCAACAGCCCAATAATTACATGCCCAGAATATTCTAGCCAATCTCCGTTTGCAACACAAACCCCTGTGTTCTTACCATATCCTATACCAAGGAAAACTACTTCTGCTGGTAAAACCTAGTATGAAGAAACTACCTTTGTAGTTGATGCCATAGAAGAAGATATCCATGCAAAAGAGGACCCAAATAAAATATCCAAGTAACACTTGTGCAACAGTTTAAACCCATCCAATGGCATCAAAACGCGCGAATGGTATGAAATGATTCTCTTGGAAACTGGATTAATTTATTTGGTCCATTATACTCAGAAAAATTCAAAAATAATATCTTATTAAAAAATACAAAGAAGAAAGGTGTTATCTTTTTCTGAATGGGGATCAGACCTAAATAAAACCAGAAAATTGAATTCCCTTGAATTCCCAAATAGATATTACCGCTACTCTGAATATATTGATGCTTGGCATCGAGTTCTTGCTGTTTCAAACCCATATAATTCACATACTTGGTTTTTGCGGTTTAAAATGCCATTACTGAACCCTTTCCAAATTGGTTCAGAAACTGGTTCTCTGTATGGGGATAAGGCTCCCAAATACTACCTGAATCCTTGCAAGTGTCTCAAGCCCGTTTTATTGAATACAATGGGAAGGATCCAAATGTCGATTACCACTTGTATTTCATGGCTATTTACCAAATTTCGTGGATCCTTAAATGGGTCTTTGCAATATCTGATAATAATATCAATAATTATGAATATATCCCATGTTTGGGAAAAAGTATTTCGATCAAATGATGGGACGTTATTGTCTACCATAATATTGAACCTGACAATATTCAACTCAAACAAATCCCATCTGCTCATAATTCATACTCTTATGCTAACCCAAATAGTTTCTCAGAATATATTTCCATATTGAAAAAATATAACCCAGAAGCCACAAAGGAAGACCTAAAAAAGCAACTATTGAAATTGTTCGAAGAAGCTGAAACTGCTCATATTCATCAAGAAGGTCAACCACCAGAAACAAAGACAGAAGAAACTGAGGATCAGTCTGCCCACGACATGTCTCAGAAACTAACCCTTTACTAAAGCTCGACCCGGCTTAGTAAACCAATATTCCTTCTTCAGAATTCCTTCTTCAGTAAGACTCCATGATCCAAAATAGACATTGAAAAGACTAAAGATTATTCCTTTAACCCATGATATGACATAAAGATTCCCTGTTCCCCGACAAAATCCAGCCATCATAATCACCGACATAAAGGACAAACCGTCAATAGTGAAAAGCTGGTTCCCTCCGTACAAAAGTCCTTCTCCAATAGTAAAAAGCAGATTCCCTCCGTACAAACGTCTTCTCCCAACAGTAAAAAGATTCTCCCTTATCGTTTACCACAGTAAAAGCTGCTACAACATTATTCCTTCTCCTTTGTCGTACCACCGGTCATCCACCGACCACCTGCAAAAGCAAAAGTAAATCAATCAAAGGTCCAATCAATAAAATTAAATTGAAGTCTGGTTTGAAGTTCGAAGGCTATATAAGGAGCTCAACCCCTCATTCTCAAGCAAGATCCGAGAGGCAAAGTCTATGCCCAGAGGAACTCCCTTTGCTCTCTTCCTCTTTCTCTGTTCTCTTTCTCTTGTATATTCTTCAATGTTTCTCTCTTATGTAAAAAAGTGAGTTTTGAGTGTTATGTGTGATTGTAATATTGATAAGCTGCCAAGCCACTGCCCAGAAGAGTGGAAAGCCTTCTGCAGCTTTTGCTTATGCACTTTGTAAGTTTTCTGTCTTTTTGTTTTTAAGTTTGTATTTTTAGTCTGTAAACCGTTCATAGTCTGTATTTTTCCTTTCTAGTCTGTAATCTGTTCATACAGATAATCTGTCATAGTCTATATTTTTCCTTTCTAGTTTGTAATCTGTTATTACAGGTCTTTTTAGATTATTGTTCTTTGTTTCAAAAGTTCATGTAAGTTGAGTCTGTAAGATTTTACAGTCAGTCTGTTTGTTTTTTACTATGCAATTTAGAATTGTTTTAAGTGTTAAAGTTTATGAATCTTCTTACACTACATGGTTATTAATTGACATAGCTCCATTCTCTGTACTTGTTTTCATTGGTATATTAGTTTATTTAGGATTTTTTAAACTTTTAGCATAGAAGGTAGATCCTGCGCTTAATTTTTGAATAGTAGAATAGTTTTGTTGGGTAGAGTTCCATGCCTGGGAAGTATAGCCGAGTAATTGTTCTTTAGAATCTATTTGTTGTTATAGAATTCCTCCTAAGCCTAATTCATATGCATCACATTCGATTATTTTAAAGGCATTAGGATGGGGTAAGGATAAACAGGGTAATTCTTTGGCTTTTGATTTCAAGGTTTTAACTGCTTGGGTATGGATATCAGTCCATTTAGGTGGATTCTTTTTTAATCTAACATATAAGGGTTTAGCATCAATTGCTAAATTTTCATAGAAATCTACTATATAATTTAAACAACCTAAGAATCGTTGCAATTCTCTTTTATCTAATATGACATCAGGAAACTTATCAACAAACTGTATTGATCTATCAATGGGTATAATGGTTCATTGATAAATGTTATGTCCCAAGAATCTTATTTTTGTTTGGAATACATTGATCTTTTTTGCATAAACTACGAGTCCTGCATGGTTTATTGCATTTATAAATACATTTAGATGTTTGAAGTGTTGAGTTATATTTTCAGAAAAAATTAAAACATCATCTATATATACGATCATAAATTTGAAGTATGGATTAAAAACATCATTCATCATTTTTTGAAATTCAGATGGAGTATTCTTTAAGCCAAATGGCATTACATTCCATTCATATTGACCGAATGGGAAATTGAAAACTGTTTTATATTTATCTTCTTCTTTTATCTGGATTTGCCAGTATCCAGACTTAAGATCAAATTTTGAAAATATACATGCATTAGTTAATCTGTCTAGCAAATCTTTTTTATTAGGAATAGGATGTCAAATCCATTGAAGAACCTTATTTAAAGGTTTATAATTAATTACAAGTCTAGGGACTCCTCATTCTTTTTCTGCATTTTTATTAACATAGAATGCAACACAACTCCAAGGAGCTGCACTTGGTCTTATTAATTTTTTATTTAGTAATTCATCTATTTCTTTTTTGCAAGTTTCTAATAAACTTGAATTCATTTGTACAGGTCTAGCTTTAGTTGGAATTTTTCTTTCATCAAATCTAGACTCATATGGTAATCCTAATATATGTTTTTTTTTGTCCCAAAAAGCATTGGGTAATTAACACATATTTCATTTTCTATTTTACTTTTAATATTTTTAATTTTCACTATATTGATAGAAGATTGCAATTCTTCTTCTATTATTTTATATTTGATTTCTTCTTTTAAAGAGCAAAAAAATTTTCTTTGTTTTTTATCTCTTCATGAACTTGATTTATTTCTTTAAGTTTAGGTTTATCTAAAAATTCAAATTTAATTTTGTTCTCATCTATTGTAGTTTCTATGCATGTATTATTGATAGTTATTGGATATAATAAAGTAAGAAATGGTATACCAAGTATTACTTTTTGGCTTAATCCTTTGACCATTATGAATGGAGTGAGAAAACAATGTCCATTATTATAAATAATCTACTACTATCAGCAGTATTTAGAATTTGTGTGGTTTTATCAAAATATTTAGTGGGTACTAATCCTTCATTAATACAATTTAAATCTGCTCCAGAGTCTACTAATGAAGAGATTGAAAAGTATAATCATTATTAAGTATGATTTTAACTAATATAAACCATTTTTGAGTAATAATCTTGTTTATTAAGTTTACAGATTTATTATTGATATCTATTTCTTCTAATTTTACTCTTGATGATTCAGGCTTTTCTGTTTGGTTTATTAATTGCTCAAATTCTATTTCATCAGTGTCAGTTATATTTCCTGAGACTTCACTTTGTAGTTCTAAGATTTTAATTCTACTCTTAAGTTGTTGTATTTCTATTTTAACATTATTAATTTGTTGTTTTAATTCTATAATTGTTGGTTCTTTTTGGACTATTTCTTTTTTGTTTATTCTTTTAATTATGTCAGCAAAATTATATTCATCAGAGGTTTTTATTAGAGATGTAGGTTTATTTTTTGATTTAGCAATACTGATAAATTGGGTTAGAATCTCTCTTTTTTCTTCTGGGTCTGTGATTTTTTCTATTAAATCTAGTATAAGTGTATCTTCTTTAGAGTGCATATTGCAAGAACATTCTTGCATTTCTTCATTTGATTCTTTTGTGCTATCCCATGTAAGATTTTCATCTTTTATATTTCTTATTAATGAAGTATTGCTAGAATTATCTGAATTACTAATGTCAGTACTATCTTCATGGTCTATTTGTATAATATCATATATTTTATTCCTAATTGATTCATCCAATATTAATAAATCTTTTTTTTTTTTGACTTTACAATTGCTTTTATAATGACCTAGTTTGCCACATTTATAGCATACAGGAAATTTTTTCTTCCCTTTCTTATATTTAAAATTTGGTGAAAATCTTTTTATGAATTTTTCTTTTTTATTTTTCTTATATAATTTTCTATCTTTTGTATCGAATTTATAGCGTTTCTTTTTATTAGTTTTATCCTTATTTTTTTCTATATTATATCCGAATTGTACACAGAAATATCCTAATTCTTTTTTGCCAGTCATTCGATGTTTATCTAATTGTCTTTTTAATTTCATATCTGTGCATAGGGCTAGTCCTTCTGTATATATTTCTGCAAACAATTCTCATAGGGTATAAGCTGAGTATGGGATTATTCCTCCATTTTTATTTTTGAGTCTATTTTTTACCTCTTCAGCAAATAAATATGGTAATCCTGCAATGAATTTTTCCTTTCAACGATCCAATTGACTATCTTCTCTAGTTAATAGTCGCGAGAAAAATACATATTTATACCATTTATAATGTGATAATGTAGGACATTTCAAATTTGATAAGAAGTCTTCTGATCTTGCTTCTAGCAGGGCTGTACTCCCCACAAAGTGAAGAGTAATCGTATATATTAAGGTATTAACGATATCACTTTCAGTATACAAGACGTCTTGATTGTTTTCATTTTTGACAGTCCATTGTCTGGTTGTATTTAGTATTTGATTTTTTGTATTTCAGGTAGGCAACCACGAAGCCAACCAGTGAAACCACAGACTATGGCTTTGGCGACTTCTTAATCGTGATTGCCAACCATTTTGCAAGCAGATGCATACGTTGTCATATGCTTCATGATATCTAGAATTTGGTGTTTTGACATCCGATCTATATTCCAATTGACTATTGATCTTCCTGAGTAAGAAGTGGTATGAGATATAAGATCTTCTTCAAATTGTATATCTACAGGAGTGGGTCTATAATGATAACGTCTGACCGTAGCAGGTTTCCAGCTTTTTCCATAGGATATTCGTTGGATGTTTTGTTCTTGACTAGTTTCAGTGAAGGCTATTTCCATGTTTTCTATAGTATTATTAATGATTGGTTCTTCTTCTTGGAGAGTTAATGTTTCTGATTCTTTAATGATTACTTTATTTTTGCCTTTCTTATCTGCTTCTTTTATATCTCATTTAGCTAGTTGGGATATGAGATGATCCATTAAGGTTTTATTATTTTCTCTTATATGAAATTTCTCTTTATTTAATGTAGGAGGTGGTTTGAATAACACAGATTTCTGTGTTTCTTATATTGGTATTGGGTGTAACATATTTTATATTCTTAAAGTTTGTTTTCCAATAGATTGCATATATAAATTTGTATAATTATTTTGCTCTATGATATGTGGAATTAGTTCTGTCCTATGAACTATTTCTCCAGAAGTCATTTTATAAGGAGTAACCTTTGTTTCTAGTGTAGGGGTATTTTCTGTTTCTTTTCCTTTGATGACTAGGTTTTTCTTTGGAGGATGTACACTAGTAATACTAATAACTTTTGGCCCTTCTATTGTGTTGTATGTATTATATTGACTTTCTAATGTATGTATTTCAAAGTTGGGAATTGAAATATTCCTTTCTTCTAATATTTCTTTTAACCATATAAAAAATCCTTTATTTTGTTTTTCTTGTTTCAAAAATTTATTGTATTTTTTATAAAATAGTTCTACTAGTCTTGGTTCAAATCTTTTAAGATACCAGTTTCTTATTTCTTTATTTTCTTCTGATAGATAATCAGCTGAAATATAGTCTTTATCTATTTTTCTTTCTTCTTGTAGGGTTAATATGTGAAAATCCATCTCTGTCTCAGAGAAGTCAGGTTCACTTATAGCTGATTCATTTTTTGCGGGTTTATATTGAGGTATTACTATATTATCACTTGTTCGTATTATTCCTTGTATTCTAGGGTTAATAGAAGATGTATTATTCTTGGATGGTTCGATAGGTTTTTTATTTAATTTTATTACAGAATCATCTCTACTGATTTTACTTGTTGTTTGACTATTGAATTGTATTTCTATATTCCCATCAGCATGTTCAATTACCTTTTCTGGGATATTTTTCGAAGGGACATGGTATTGTTGATTTTGATTATAAATTGACCATGATTCTGGTAAAGTTATATCTGACCATTGTATAGTTTTAGGAATAATAGTATTGGATTTTTCAATATTTGTTTGAAAGAATATAGTTTGGCCTCTATTATCGACTTGTAATACGTTAGGGCATAAAGTATTCATTACTTTATAATATATACGGTATATGATAGCTATATTTTGAGAACCTGGATCATATCAAATCTTTGGGTTTTTAAATTCAAAGTTAATACTTTACAAATGTTGGGATCACTAATGGATACTGAATAGTTTGGAAAACAATTAAAATAAATGGGTCCACCACATAAACTTGATTATACCATTCCTAAAAGGGAATCTGAAAACTTATTGTGTCTGGTGTCTCTTAGACATACTAATATTGAATTATTAAGTCTCAAGCTTGTTAAAGGTTTAACAGCTACTTGAATCAATTCTATGTGTAAATAATTATAACTTTTGTTTTTATGTGATTGTCTTATTTTTTCTGATAAAAGTTGGAAATCTTCTTGATTACTAGTTACTGATAGAGTCTGTTCTACAATTTTTATAGAATAACCTACTTTTAGATTAAATGTGCCTTGTTTATATATATCGGTTATAGGTACTTTTGGTATATTCCAGTTTTGTATCTGTTTTTCAATATTATCTATCACAACTTCTTCTTTATTTTTAATCCTAAAAGTACTACTATTCTAAGATAATGCTTTAGTAGATAGATTCCCAATGAAAATTTCCATTATTAGGTTGCGGATAAGTGCTTCTGTTGACTACCTCTTACGTCTTTCTCGACCTCAACGGCTCTCTTAGCCATAACGGTCTTTTTTGACTGGGTGTCCTAGGCCTCAACTCTCGGACCAATTTTGTCTAATGGGAAATTTACTTAGGTTTCTACCTATTAGAGTATTATCCTAAAGTAGTAATATCCTTGTAGATTAAATCTAAGGTTAAAACAATGATATGATAATAGTTGATTTTAACAGTTGAAGGATGGCTCTGATACTAATTAAGCGCAAGATCAACCTTCTATGCTAAAAGTCTAAAAAATCCTAAATAAATTAATATACCAATGAAAACAACTAAAGAGAATGGAGCTATGTCAATTAATAACCATGCAGTGTAAGAAGATTCATAAACTTTAACACTTAAAACAATTCTAAATTGCATAGTAAAAAACAAACAGACTGACTGTAAAATCTTACAGACTCAAATTACATGAACACAAACTATGAACAGATTACAGACTAGAAAGGAAAAATACAAACTATGACAGACTATTTGTATGAACGGTTTACAGACTAAAACATACAAACTTAAAAATAAAAAGACAGAAAACATAAAAAGTGCATAAGCAAAAGTTGCAGAAGGCTTTCCACTCTTCTGGGCAGTGGCTTGGCAGCTTATCAATATTACAATCACACATAACACTCAAAACTCACTTTTTTACATAAGAGAGAAACACTGAAGAATATACAAGAGAAAGAGAACAGAGGAAGAGGAAGAGAGCAGAGGGAGTTGCTTTGGGCTTAGACTTTGGCTCTCGGATCCTGCTTGAGAATGAGGGGTTGAGCTCCTTATATAGCCTTCAGACTTCAAACCGGACTTCAAATTAAATTTATTACTTTTGATTTATTTGACCTTTGATTGATTTGTCCTTCTTGCTTTTGCTTTTGTAGGTGGTTGGTGGATGACAGGTGGCATGTGACAAGGAAGAAGGAATATTGTTGTAGCTGCTTTCACTGTGGTTAACGATAAGGGAGAGTCTTTTTTACTGTTGGGTGAAGGCGTTTGTATGAAGGGAATCTACCTTTTTACTATTGGAGAAGGACTTTTGTACGGAGGGAATCAATTTTTCACTATTGACGGTTTGTCCTTTATGTCGGTGATTATGATGGCTGGATTTTGCCGGGGAACAGAGAATCTTTATGTCATATCATGGGTTAAAGGGATAATCTTTAGTCTTTTCAATGTCTATTTTGGATCAGGGAATCTTACTGAAGAAGGAATATTGGTTTACTAAGCCGAGTCGGGCTTTTGTAAAGGGTTGGTTTCTGAGACATGCCATGGGCAGACTGATCCTCAGTTTCTTCTGCCTCTGTTTCTGGTGGTTGGCCTTCTTGATGAATATGGGCAGTTTCAGCTTCTTCGAACATTTTCAATAGTTGCTTTTTTAGGTTTTCTTTTGTAGCTTCTGGGTTATATTTTTTCAACATGGAAATATATTATGAGAAACTATTTGGGTTAGCATAACAGTATTAATTATGAGCAGATGGGATTTGTTTGAGTTGAATATGGTCAGGTTCAATATTATGGTAGACAAAAACTTCCCACCATTTGATCGAAATACTTTTTCCCAAACATGGGATATATTCATAATTATTGATATTATTATCGGATATTGCAAAGACCCATTTAAGGATCCACGGAATTTGGTAAATAGCCATGAAGTACAAATGGTAATCGACATTTGGATCTTTTCCATTGCATTCATATAAAACGGGCTCGAGACACTTGCAAGGATTCAGGTAGTATTTGGGAGCCTGATCCCCATACAGAGAACCTGTTTCTAAACCAATTTGGAAAGGGTTCAGTCATGGGCATTTTAAACTGCAAAAACCAAGTATGTGAATTATATGGGTTTGAAACAACAAGAACTCGATGCCAAGCATCAATATACTCAAAGTAGCGGTAATATCTATTTTGGAATTCTGGGGAATTCAATTTTCTGGTTTTATTTGGGTCTGTTCCCCATTCAGAAAAAGATAACACCTTTCTTATTTGTGTTTTTTAATAAGATATTATTTTTGAATATTTCTGAGTATAATGGACCAAAGAAATTGATCCATTTTCCAAGAGAATCATTTCATACCATCCACGAGTTTTGATGCCATTGGATGAGTTTAAATTATTGCACAAGTATTACTTGGCAATTTTATTTGGGTCCTCGTTTCATGGATATCTTCTATTATGGCATCAACTACAAAGGTAGTTTCTTCATACTGGGTTTTACCCGCAGAAGTAGTTTTCCTTGGTATAGGAGATGTAAGAACACAAGGGTTTGTGTTGCAAACGGAGATTGGCTAGAATATTCTAGGTATGTAATTATTGGGCGGCTGGGTTGACTGGGTGAGTATGGTTGAAGGTTTCTTATTGGAGATTGGGTCATATTACTGGGAACAATGTCCAATGAAGTATCCAAATGGGGCTTTTCCTTTGGTATCAGAAGTACTCATATTCTCATTGTAATTGAATAATTCAAAAGCAATTGGTAATATAGGTGGATCAAACTGGTCCGTTCTGCCCCCCTGCAAAAATTCTCGTGTAAGAAAGTCAGGAAGGGAATTAGAAGCACCTTTCAAATGTTAAATATCAAAATCAAAAGAGGATAAAATGGCTTGCCAGCGGGCAAAAATTTGTTTTGAAACGAGATATTGCACATCTTTGACAAATATATCTTTAGCAGCCTTACAATCAGTTCGAATAAGAAATTTAGTATTTAAAATATCACTCTGGAATTTAGTAACACAATGAACAATTGCTAAAATTTCTTTTTTAAAAGTAGAATAGTTTTGTTGGGTAGAGTTCCATGCCTTAGAAGTATAGCGGAGTAATTGATACCAATTAAGCGCAAGATCAACCTTCTATGCTAAAAGTCTAAAAAATCCTAAATAAATTAATATACCAATGAAAACAACTAAAGAGAATGGAGCTATGTCAATTAATAACCATGTAGTGTAAGAAGATTCATAAACTTTAACACTTAAAACAATTCTAAATTGCATAGTAGAAAACAAACAGACTGACTGTAAAATCTTACAGACTCAACTTACATGAACTTTTGAAACAAAGAACAATAATCTAAATAGACCTGTATGAATAGATTACAGACTAGAAAGGAAAAATAGAGACTATGACAGACTATTTGTGAACGGTTTACAGACTAAAAATACAAACTTAAAAATAAAAAGACAGAATACATAAAAAGTGCATAAGCAAAAGCTGCAAAAGGCTTTCCACTCTTCTGGGCAGTGGCTTGGCAGCTTATCAATATTACAATCACACATAACACTCAAAACTCACTTTTTTACATAAGAGAATAACATTGAAGAATATACAAGAGAAAGAGGAAGAGAGTAGAGGGAGTTGCTCTGGGCTTAGACTTTGGCTCTCGGATCCTGCTTGAGAATGAGGGGTTGAGCTCCTTATATAGCCTCTGGACTTCAAACCGGACTTCAATTTAATTTTATTGATTTGACCTTTGATTGATTTACTTTCGCTTTTGCAAGTGGTCGGTGGATTACAGGTGGCATACAACAAAGGAGAAGGAATGTTGCTGTAGCTGCTTTTACTGTCGTAAGCGATAAGGGAGAATCTTTTTTACTGTTGGGAGAGGACATTTGTATGGAGGGAATTTGCTTTTTACTATTAGTACGGAGGGACTCTGCTTTTAACTATTGACGGTTTGTCCTTTATGTCGGTGATTATGATGGCTGGATTTTGCTGGGGAACAGGGAATCTTTATGTCATATCATGGGTTAAAGGGATATTCTTTAGTCTTTTCAATGTCTATTTTGAATCATGGAATCTCACTGAAGAAGGAATTCTGAAGAAAGAATATTGGTTTACTAAGCCGGGTCGGGCTTTAGTAAAGGGTTAGTTTCTGAGACATGCCATGGGCAGACTGATCCTTAGTTTCTAGAGGTTGTCCTTCTTGATCAATATGGGCAGTTTCAGCTTCTTCGAACATTTTCAATAGTTGCTTTTTTAGGTCTTCTTCTGTGGCTTCTGGGTTATATTTTTTCAACATGGAAATATAATATGAGAAACTATTTGGATTAGCATAAGAGTATGAATTATGAGCAGATGGGATTTGTTTGAGTTGAATATTGTCATGTTCAATATTATGGTAGACAAAAACGTCCCACCATTTGATCGAAATACTTTTTCCCAAACATGGGATATATTCATAATTATTGATATTATTATCAGATATTGCAAAGACCCATTTAAGGATCCACGGAATTTGGTAAATAGCCATGAAGTACAAATGGTAATCAACATTTGGATCTTTCCCATTGTATTCAATAAAACAGGCTTGAGACACTTGTAAGGATTCAGGTAGTATTTGGAAGCCTGATCCCCATACAGAGAACCAGTTTCTAAACCAATTTGGAAAGGGTTCAGTAATGGGCATTTTAAACTGCAAAAACCAAGTATGTGAATTATATGGGTTTGAAAGTGCAAGAACTCGATGCCAAGCATCAATATATTTAGAGTAGTGGTAATATCTATTTGGGAATTCAGGGGAATTCAATTTTCAAGTTTTATTTGGGTCTGATCCCCATTCAGAAAAAGATAACAGCTTTCTTATTTTTATTTTAGAATAGGATAATATTTTTGAATTTTTCTGAGTATAATGGACTAAAGAAATTGATCCAGTTTCCAAGAGAATCATTTCATATCATTCGTGCGTTTTGATGCCATTGGATGGGTTTAAATTGTTGCACAAGTAATACTTGGCAATTTTATTTGGGTCCTCTTTTGCATGGATATCTTCTATTATGACATCAACTACAAAGGTAGTTTCTTCATACTGGGTTTTATCAACAGAAGTAGTTTTCCTTGTTATAGGAGATGGTAAGAACACAGGGGTTTGTATTGCAAATGGAGATTGGCTAGAATATTTTGGGTATGTAATTATTGGGCTGCTGAGTTGACTAGTTGAGTATGGTTGAAGGTTTCTTATTGGAGATTGAGTCATATTACTAGGAACAATGTCAAGTGAAGTATCCAAAGGGGCTTTTCCTTTGGCATCAGATATACTCATATTCTTATTGTAATTGAATAACTCAAGAGAAATTGGTAATATAGGTGGATCAAACTGGTCCGTTCTGCCCCCCTGCAAAAATTCTCATGTAAGAAAGTCAAGAAGGGAATTAGAAGCACCTTTCAAATGTTCAATATTAAAATCAAAAGGGGATAAAATGGCTTGCCAACGGGCAAAAATTTGTTTTGAAACGAGATATTGCTCATCTTTGACAAGTATATCCTTAGCAGCGTTACAATCAGTTCGAATAAGAAATTTAGTATTTAAAATATCACTCTGAAGTGTTGAGTTATATTTTTAGAAAAAATTAAAACATCATCTATATATACGCTCATAAATTTGAAGTTTGGATTAAAAACATCATTCATCATTTTTTGAAATTCGGATGGGGCATTCTTTAAGCCAAATGGCATTAGACATTGAAAGTTGTTTTATATTTATCTTCTTCTTTTATCTGGATTTGCCAGTATCCAGACTTAAGATCAAATTTTTAAAATATACATGCATTAGTTAATCTGTCCAGCAAATATTTTTTATTAGGAATATGATATCTAATCCATTGAAGAACCTTATTTAAAGGTTTATAATAAATTACAAGTCTAGGGACTCCTCGTTCTTTTTCTTCATTTTTAGTAATTCATCTATTTCTTTTTTTCAAATTTCTAATAAAGTTGAATACATTTGTACAGGTCTAACTTTAGTTGGAATTTTTCTTTCATCAAATCCATACTCATATGGTAATCCTACTTAATGTTTTTTCCTGTTCCAAAAAGCATTGGGTAAGTCACTACATATTTCATTTTCTATTTTACTTTTAATATTTTAAATTTTCTCTAAATTTATAGAAGATTGTAATTCTTTTTCTATTATTTTATATCTGATTTCTTCTTTTAAAGAGCATAAAAAATTTTCTTTGTTTTTTATCTCTTGGTGAACTTTATTTATTTCTTTAAGTCTAGGTTTATCCAAAAATTCAAATTTAATTTTGTTAGCATCTATTGGATATAACACAGTAAGAAATGGTACACCAAGTATTACTGCTTGGCTTAATCCTTTGACCATTACGAATGGAGTGGGAAAACAATGTCCATTACTACATACCATAGTATTGGATAACTTATATTTTATAAATAATCTACTACCATCAGCAGTATTTAGAATTTGTGTAGTTTTATCAGAATATTTAGTGGGTACTAATCCTTCATTAATACAATTTAAGTCTGCTCTAGAGTCTACTAATGCTTGAGATT